TGCATAATGAGCTTAACAGAGCCCATATACAATGACCTATGTGGCATTTTGAAAGCACTTGTGCATTTTGGAAAAGGTAAAACGTGGCCTGCTTCTTTGTGGGGTGCTCTTAGCAGCAGCAGTGCATTAAAAGCTTGATTTCCACATTACTGTTATCATTAGTATTATTTTTGCATAATTTTCTGGCTGTTAAATCAATTATGGAGATCTCTAATCACCCGCTCACGCCTGCAGGTACACTGGTGGGGATCTCTGAAAAATAATTTGTAGTGATTAGAGGAGGTGCACGCACTGTATAAACAGTAAACAACGGTTTTGTACGCTTGGCGCGTATTCGGTGATAAAAGAATTTGATGAAACAACAAAAACATGTTGAAAAATGACAGTCTTTAGTCTTAGTCTCAACTGAACGTGTGGTGTATTTCCACATTTGGATTTACTGTCAGGATTATTACACTGTCTTGTACATGTTTCTCTTGTTTACCTACCTGCTGGGAGAGAAAGTAAGACTCAGCCAGTGTCAGCAACATAAGTGCACTGTACCAAATCCAATGTGCCCATGACAACCATTGTAAGCAGGGCTGTGCTGGACATGTAATGACACAGCCTGAGAATTGTATCACAGTAGGCACAAAGGAAATCCATTTGCTTCATAGGACAACTGGAATAAGAGTATTTTCTCATTTCATTGTGTGAGATAGGATGCCTAATACATATTCAGCAGTGATAAGCGGGATACGGAGGTGTTGTGATGGGCTTCGGTCAGGGCTGTGTTTTTTTTTTTTGTTTTGTTTTTTTGTTTTTTTTTTGTAATTATTTCAATTTATTTATTTTCACTGTTTGGGAAATGTTCTATTTTTGTCCCTGGTATTAGCACAGCCGTCTGCGGTGTGGCTGCTGTTGTTGTTGAATCCATACAGACAATGTCATCTGGAATCCGCTGCAGAGATTTCATAGACATGTCAGTCAAACACATCTCTCTGATCACTCTATCAAGCTAAACCCTGGAAGGCGCTACAGGATGCCTCTGGCCACAAAGAACACACTATATAAGAAATTGTTTATTCCACAGGCATCCGGCTTGCTCGGTTCTTATGACTTGGAGTATTCATACTGCCTCTGCATGCTGTTGCTATGAATTGTTTTATATATTTTAATATTTAAATAAAATGTGGACAATGAATTTGAATTGTATTATATTCAAATCTATTCAGATTTACTAGTACTACCATATTGATATTCAAAGCAGTGCTTTGACATTTTAGAAAGTATGCTGAGTCGCTTTCTTCTGAGAGTTAGATAAGAAGTTTGATACCACTTTCTTGTCTGTGCATTAAAGGAGCTCTTTTATGTTTTTTCTGCCGCCAAACGTGACTTCTTCCCTGGAGCAGCTGGTGGTGATTGTCACTTGACAAAAACTATAGCCATTATTGCGTTGACAAGAGGTTATGCGTCCTCAGGGCAGACTGGAGGCTACAATGAGCCGCTATTGGAAAGTGACGAAACAGGCCGGGGCTAGCTGGTTAGCATGCTAACTTCAGTAAAGGAAAAAGAGGTGATAGAAAAAGACTTAACATTGGTGTTGCTTTCCACCACTGGAGACAGCGCCTGGTGAGTAGAGGAATGAAGTTTGATGCTGAACTCGCAACGTTTCTTCAAGACTGGAAAGTAAACAGCTGCTAATGCTAATGTTAGCTATGTAGCAATGGCAAAACTTAGAGAAATAGCTCCTTTCAGCACAATTAGCCAGGAGGTGATTAGGCTAGCTTAGCAAAAAGACTGTAATCAGAAGGGCACAGCTAGCTAGCTTGGCTCTCAAAAATATACCAGCTCTCCAAACATTAATAATTAGCAAGGTCTATTTTGTTTGTGAAACAGAAATAATTACAGCACATGAATAATCAATTATTTTTTTTACAGCTTATTAAAAAATACAATAATTATGATACAGTGTTTAAAATGGGCCTTGGTATGTGTATTCTTTAAGAGTTAGTCTTCAATCCTGTCACGTACAACTTACACTCACCGAGCACTTTATTGGGAACACCTTATTAATTCTGGGTAGGACGTCCCTTTACCTCAGTTCTTAGTGGGATGGATTCCACAACATGTTAGATTCTGCTCCATATTGACATGATTGCATCACATTATTTCTGCTGATTTGTCAGTTGCACATTCACGCTGCCAATCTCCCGTTCAAATGCATCCCAAACGTTTCTGCTGGATTCAGATCTGACTCGATTAATTCTTGGGAAACTTGGTTCATTATCATGCTGGGACTAGCCATTAGAAGATGGTAAACTGACCACAAAGGGATGCACGTGGTCAGCAGCAATACTCAGATAGGCTTTAGCATTCAACCCGTGATTGATTGGTATTAAGTGTGCCAAGAAAATAATCCCCACACCGTTACACCACCGCCAGCCTGGACAATTGACACAAGACAGGTAGGGTGCATGGATTCATGCTGTTGATGATTCAGCTGTCCAGTTTTAATGAGCCTGTGCCCACTGCAGCCTCAGATTTCTCTTCTTGGCTGGCAGGAGTGGAACCTGACGTGTTCTTCTGCTGTTGTAGCCCATCCACCTCAAGGTCGTTCGTTCTGAAGAAGCTTTTCAACGAGGCATTTCCGTCCGCAGAGCTGCTGCTCACTGAATGTTTTTCTTTTTGTTTTTCACACCATTCAGAGTAAAACTCAAGAGACTGTCGTGAGTGAAAATCTCCAGAGATCAGCAGTTTTAAAAACACTCAAAGCAGCCCTTCTGACGCCGACAATCATGCCACAGCTGCAGTCACTGAGTCACATTTTTCCCCCCAATCTTATGTTTGATGTGACCAATAACTGAACTTCCTGACCTGTAGATGCATGATTCTTTCCATTGCAATGCTGGTACTACATGCTGACCGGATAATTGCATGAATAAGCAGGTGTTCTTCATAAAGTGCTCGTTAAGTGTATGTATACACTATCAGTTTGAGAGTAACACAAATATTTCCCCAAAACTTGAACTAATCTTATTTTCAAAACAGGTTGAGTTGTGTGTGTGTGTGTGTGTGTGTGTGTGTGTGTGTGTCAGCTGGGCGTGGCTCCCTGGTTCCTGCTCCCTCCAAGTCTCCATACTCACCTGCTTCTCATCATGCAATCAACTCCACAACCTGCTGCAGTACAAAGGACAGGTGCAGCTCACCATCCTTCGCCAGATTGTTCTTTCACACCACGTCGAGTGGTATAAACGCTACGGCCAAAGAGTGATGCCAACTTGTCGCTCTGTGTCTGTTTTCTTGGACTTTTTTTTAGGGGGGGGAATCCAGTTTGATCCTTACATCTACAACCCTGCCGCCTGCCACGCTCAGCCCAGCCCTGTCTCACCTGCTTGGATTTCTGTCTGTTTGCCCAACTCAAGGGGATTCCTATCTGTTTGCCCAACCTCCGCCATCATCTGCCATACTTTCCACAGTCTCTCGCCAGCATTGCCATCACCAGCCCAATTCCCCACAATCTAAATAAATTATAACAAAAGACTTGCTTCACCACCATTCTGTGTTCTGTTCTGTGGGTTCAGCTCCATACTAAAATGATGGGATATTATGAATAAAATGCCAGTTTGTGACGGGAAAATGTCCTTCAGTTGTGTTCCTAATCGAGTTCCCATGGAATAACCGTGGCATTTAATACGGTTGTTAGGATACAAAACATACAAACTGTAATAGCAAGACTTTTTAATAGAATATTGACATGCTTTTGAATGATCAATACAGTTCTTGGTCTTGGTATAAAGCACAGATTATATGGCGTTTCAAAACACTTTTTCAATAGCTCTCTCCTGTCTTAGTCCACAAGTAGCTCTGAAAGCACACCTGATACTACAGTGCTTACCAGCAGAGAGGTAGAATAAAGAGTTTATGAACCATGGACCTCTCACAGACTGACCGGCTACACACTGACTGAAAGCCACAGTCTATCTTTAAGAACACGCCTTTCACATCCAGCTGCTGCACGTCATGTGCTGAAGGGAAGAAAAAGGAGACGGAGACGAACAATAAGCTCTTACACAGCAACCCCGTTAACCTCCTGTAAGAAATGAAACACTGAGTCTTTTAAAATACGTTTTATTACGTAGAAACCAAAGACAAATTGTGCGATATTCACATTAGAATGGTTGTCACAAACTTATGTTAATGGCATTAATTTCACCAAAGAGTCGAGTTCAGACAATGAAAATGTCATTTCTTTGTTCCAGTGTTTCAGCAAACAGGTAGAAAAAAAACCAAAAAGAAAACATAGCATGTTAACATCAAGTAATACAGTGCTATGGTACAAATGTTGTATAAAAGACTCGCTGCTGCATTCAAAATGAACCTCTTTAAACAAATCCGCCCACCCTACGCCCACTCACACATATGGATAATGATAATGCAGTTTCAGTTAGAGGACTGGTTTAGGTCTAAATCTAATCTGCAACAGGGTCCACAATAACAACAACTGTACTTCACAGTGTAAATTAGCTTCATTATATTTACACAAAACACAGACAAGACACACGAAGCCTAAAGAAAGAAAGAAAAAAAAAAAAGACTTAAAGTACAAAATATGAGCCACTGTTTTAATGAATATTAGTTAGTTGCCACTATGTGCTGCACAGTTTGAGCCTCTTTTGTGAGGATTTAGATTTACTGTCACTTAAGGTTAGCCATGTATAATTATCTTTAAAGGGTTGATTTGGAAACAGACAGGTATGGTTCAGTTTGTTATTTTCCCTTCAATGATCACGGTTCATCCCTCTGACCCATCTTAATGCCACACAATCAATCAGACGAGGTTCTCTGAGAAGCTGGTTGTGATCCAGATTTCCCATAGCAACCGCAAACTGACACTCTCCCCCTTCTTCTGAAGAACACATGATGATCTGATGCTTCAAATCAGTGCACCGAGGTGATTTTCCTTTTAATGTCTTTAATTAAGTCCATCAGCATGTTGTTTTATGTCAGAAAACAATTAAAGCCCCTTTAGCAGTGGATCTCGTAGGCAACCTGTGATCCGAAGAGGAGGCTCTGACTGAGGAAGAGCTCCTCCGGGTCCGTCGTTAGGGGTCCCTCTCCTCCGTCTGCTGGGTTTCTGCGAAGCCCCATTCCCCCCGATCGGGTCAGTGTCTGCACCATTTCATGGTCCAGGAGAGCCTCCTTCATTCCCTTCTGCTGGACAAACCCGCTCATCATGGGACACCTGGAAGAAGAGGACCCCAGAACGGGTTTGGCCCGGTTGAGGACGTACATCTCGTGGCCGTGGTCATCGCGGTACTCCTCCAGCTGAGCAAAGGTGGTGGGTCCATCAGAGTAGTCATTCACGTAAAGGATGCTCTCTTCCTTGCTGGTACAGTAGGATCCCCCTTCCTCTTTGCGGTACTGCTGGTGACGAGTGTAGATCATAATCAGGAGGAGAACGGCAGTCAGCGCTAGCAAGGAGATGCCCACTGCAATGGCGGTTTGTGTGGCGGGGCCCAGAGCACTGAAATCCATGCTGTCCTGCTCATACAACGGCTCCTGGCTCACGTCCAGAACCTCTGGTTGGTAGAAGGAGTTAGACGAAGAGGAAACAAAGGAGTGCGTGTTGGAACGAGGCCAGAACTGGGATGAATACGAGGAAGAAGACATGTTGACGGCCAGGTGAAAAGTGACTTTGGCTACACCACCAGGGTTCCAGGCCTCACACTCGTAGCGTCCAGCGTGCGCTACGGTCACATTGCTTAGAAACAACATGCCGCTGCCCATGTCCGGGTCAAAGCTGTCCCTCTCGCCCCCTTCCTCAGCTCCACGCACAAGCCCGTGGATCCCGCCAACACCTCCCACCTTCATCCCTCCACTGCTGGGCAGGGCTGTCACCACTCCTCCGGCCCCAGGCCTGAAGAGCTCACCGTTAGGCCCCAGTTCTTGAACCAGGCCTCGAGGTGATAACTGGGCCTTGCCGTGGGAGGCTTTCTTCCAGGTCACCTGAGGCTGAGGGTATCCTGAGGCCTGGCAGGAGACTCTGAGGCTCTCCCCTAGTCGCACGGTCAGGTGACTGGGCTCCAGCTGAACCACGGGGGGAATGCAGACCAGGCTGTTTGGGGCCACCTCCACCAGGCTGAGGTGGGAGAGGCGAGGCGGTTCTGAGCACATCAGCTGACGCTGCTCAGCAGAGCTCAACAGACGCTGGCCGTCTTTGCTGATCCAGGTTCTTAGCCAGCCAAGAGCGCAATCACAGCGCCATGGGTTCTCTGGAAGAGAGGAATGGAGTCAAACAAGGGAAACTTGGGTTAAACCAAGTTTATTTTGTTTATGTTCCGTTTTGACAACCACTCCACGACTAATTGTCCCTCTCTTTTTTAAATCATGTTTTTGAGGGATTTTTTTTTCTCATTGAAGGTCTACTGTTGGCTGAAACTCTTTAATATGTAAAATATGTATAAGGGCACTTCACTTCACTCCACATCAGTCCGTTGGTTGTGGCTAGTTTAAAACGACAGTGGTAGTGTGTGAATTTCAGTGCTCTGACAGTGCTTTCTCAGCAGCGTCGGTTCTTCAGAATTGTGTTACGGAAGCATTAAATTCAATCTTGGAGGATTATGTCACATTACTGTAAGACATAATGTCTTCTCTCTCTTTGCCTACCTGTGACACGTAGCACCTGCAGGCTGACAAGTGGTTTGAGGGACGAGGCTCCCAGGGTGCGGAGGTGATTTCTGCTGAGGTCCAGCAGGGCCAGAGATGACAAGCCAGACAGGGCTTGCTCTGCCAGCAGCTCTATGCTGTTTTCCTGCAGGTGGAGTTCCTGCAGACGCTGCAGACAGCGAAGAAAGACGCACAGCGGAGGATGGGAAATGTGAACGAGTTAGTTAAAGAGGGAGGAATGGAAATGTCAAATGTGAAGAGGATGACTCAATTCCACTAGACTCAGTCTGTGCGGTATTACTGTATGATAGAGATTAGTAAGACATGCTGTCGTGAATTGGATTTACAGTCACAGATGTCATCTTATATAATCCATAAAGAGGAATCCCATATTGAAATTGCTTTGGCTTTGCTGGCAAAAACTAAGGTTTTAGGAACGCTTTACCCAGTCTGTGCATTAACCATTGCCAACCAGTCATCCAGTCCTTTATCTCACATGCACTGACCTGCAGTCCCCTGAAGGTGTGGTCCTGGACTCGAGTGATCTGGTTGCCGGCGAGGTAGAGGATCCGGAGGTGCTCCAGACCCCGAAACATGTCAGGGGTGACCAGATGGATGAGGTTGCCATTGAGAGCAAGTTCCAGCAGCTGCCCCTGGCTGAGGAACGCCCCGGGCTCCAGGGCCGAGATGCTGTTGTTCTGGAGGTAAAGGTAATGGAGGCTGCCCAGGCGAGTCAAGTCCTGAAGACGGATCTGCACTATAGCGTTATCCTGGAGAAAGATGGTCTTTAGGGGGAGAAAAAGGGAATGAAATTAGCAGAACGATCACAGATTGATTGCATTAGGGGAACAGAGGAAGGGATGTGATGTTTGAGTCGGTGTTTGTTTTGTACTAGAAAGTGAGCGTGGCCTGTTCCTGTGCCGTGCTCAGTGGGTAGAAAAATGCATTAACCATGAGGAGAGATTACATTAGCAACAGGGCCACTTTTAAACCTATGCTCTCGCAGGGCTGTGCAAAGCTTTGGATATATGTTAATGCAGGCAATACAAACAATGTGCGATGAGCTCGTCCGGGATCGTGATAATAATGACAGTGACAATGTGGCTTGTGCAGCGTTTTTTTTTTTTTTTTTTTTTCCTGTTTTGTGCTTCAGTTCTCTTGCCAAACGCTGCAGAAGCCCTTGTCGGAAACATCTTCAAACAAAAAAAAAATGATTGGAGCTATATGAGAAGTGCACAAATACACAGCTGTCTGCTTGATTGGTCATGTGCATTCACTGATGACGTTTTCCCAGAAAGCAAACACGGGCCATGAGGTAAAGTATGATTGAGGAGATAGACCTGCTGAATGAGGTTAATGGAACAATTTATGCAGGACATGCTTTCCATTAATATTCATAAGCTGCAGTAATGTTGGGGGGCCTGAACCCGAGAGGAAAAGACGGTGTGATGTTAAACATCTTCTCAACAGATGATCAGAGGGCGTGCGAGAGTCACTTTCTGTGCAAGAATGAATAATTACACAGCCAACAGCACAGCCCCTCCCTTAGGCTTACATCAAAGAGGGTCACGGCGAATTGATTAACCACAATCATTTCAGGGTAATAAGAATGGATCAGAGAGGAAGTCAACTGATACAAAACCACTGGGGCAGGAGGAGGAAGGTGGCGGTGGGATGGGGTGGGGTGGGGTCAGCTGCTATGCACTACAGCATCTAGTGCCTTAACTTATTGTCAATCAGCCAACTGACCTCAGTGACAGAAGGGACACCCTGAGGGATTTCTTTGATCCCAAGAGATCCACACTCCACCGTGAGGCTGTAGCAGCGACAGCCGGAGGGGCATCCCAGGGACGGCTGAGGGATGAGGGCTATTACGAGCAGGGTGAGTCTGGAGAACCACGAGAGGACCATAGTGGTTTTACAGTCGGCCTTCACAGACAAAACCTGAGGGGAGAAGGCAGAGAAGTAAACATTAATCACTCACCACGGTTACAACCACTACAACCTTTTTTTTTTTTTCACGGTAATGTATTTCATCCTCAAAGGTGAGACTGACAGGAGCTGCAGATATGTTGTGTATGCAGATGACTGTGGAATGGCAAGGGAGGATTGATAAAAAAGCAAGGCAACATAAGAGTATCTCCTCATCCCTGCCTGTTTTCCATTCAGCTGTGTCTAGTCAGTGGAATTGCAGCAGCTTCTATTATGGGCTTCAATTAATTAAAGATGTGATAAAAGATGCGCAGGTTGCCTCAAGGACCTCTCTCTTGTCTTTTTAATGCATGCACAAACACACTCACACACTCCACCTCTATTTCTGTCTTTGTCTTTGTCTTACAAAGGCTCTCTCACACACACACGTGCAAATGTGCTGCACAGAGACAGAGGTTTGTGTTTTGACCCCCCCACCCCCCCGTAATCTCAGAAACCACATTTACCTCCTCAAAGCAAATCTCAAGTGGTAACCAGCTCTAATCCGCTGATCAAAAACATCAGCACTGGCTGCTTGCTACACCTTACAGCAATATCTTCCTTTGATATAAACCCATCACTGAGCAACTCATCCATGCACTTTTTTATTTTTTATTTTTTATTTCTACACAGCCTGGAAGGGATTTATTGTTCCGCTTGACTGTTCACATCAAAACGGCCTCAGACTCGCCGTCCAATACCGTGTAGCGCTGCAGTGTTCACAATAGTTCATCGGCAGCAGATCACGTGAAGATACCGCAGGGCTGGAGACATGATACATGTTGAAATGTCACACTGAGCCCCGTCATTCTGCTCCAGCGACAGCAGGTAGATTTATTGCGCTTTGCTGAGCCTGCCCGCCTCGTTCTAGAGAATCTTCATCCAGTGGAGAAGCAGGCATCACATTGATCCAATCTAAAGTCTCACATTGTTATAAAACATTCATGCGCAACCCCGGCCGTGTCTCTGTATCCCATTAAGCTTGTTTGACTTGTGAAATTTCTAGTTTGCTTAAGATTGCAGAATCACCCAGACAGTTAATTGATAGCATTTAGATCTTGCTCCGAATGATTTTGGAGATCATCTCGTTTATTAATTATTAGAATGCACACAGATCTCATTCCAGCGCAGTGATGAAAGGGTCTGAAACAAACTGTGACTGATAAATATTCAGCTTGCAGGGTGTTTGAACTGTTCTGTCAGATTGATATCTAGTGTGTCTCATTTGTAGTGTTATAATCCACAACAGTAATTTAATGCGAAAGCAGCAGTACAGTGGGATCATTGTTTCAGTGGCTCAGAAGTCATTCTCAGTGCAGACACACTGCATTATTAAGAAAATGAGCAATGAACTGAGTTTTAATATTGCATGTTTGATTTGGAGCACATTTACGGGGATATCCAGCTAGATTAATACAATGTGACCTACATAAGCTGTTCAATCGTCTTCTCTCAGCGAAAAACAGAACTAAAACTTATTAACAAGAGCATGCCATTTCCTCTCTAGAGCTCTCCAAACAAGCATGGAAAGAAATTATGTATTTCTATTGTTGCGAGGAGAAAGCACAAAAATTGAATTTTGAATAAGGCCTTGGTCTGTCATTGAGCTTTTGTTACTTTCACAGTGAGATGACTTTTAAATAGCTTTGGCTTACTTGAAAAGTGTCAGAAAGGGAACCAGAGAGGGAGACACTCGCCTGCCCTCAGCTAAGAATACACGCAGAACAGGAAGCACAGTCTGATATTTGTTGTTGGAATATGTGCCCAACATCAATGCAAATGACTCCCTGCCAGGTAGAGAAAATAGCTTATGCATTTCTCTGCTCTTTCTGCATTACTCCATCTTTTTTTTTTTTTTTTAAAAGAAAGAAAAAAGAAAGAAAGGAAGAAGCCTGAGTGGCAATCGCGCCACGTATTCACTGTCAGGACAAGTGTGATGAGAGACGAGGATAACCTATGGAGTTCTCAGGGTCTGCAAACAGACGGAAGGCGAGGACAAAAATAAAACAACAGTTGGGCAGAGGCGTCTTTAAATACTGCTGCTGACTGCAACTTGTCTCGCAGTGTACTGTAAGCTGCACTGTTTCAGGTTCAGTCTGCCCCTCGCTGTGCTTGACTCTCATCTTTTGTCATGCTGATGTGGGATTTCAGTGGTAAGAGGTCAATTTGTTCATTTCAGTCTCAGTAATCCTCTGTGGAACATGCGTAATCTGCACAATCAGATGCTTGTTAGCTAAGCTGCTCTCGGCGCTGTCTACGTTTTTGTGTGCGTGTGTGTGTGTGTGTTGGGGGGGGGGCTGCTTTTTTTGGCATTAAAAAACGAGGTCAGCGATATATCTCTATTGACTGTGGAAATGTGTAAATAGGATGATTAGAGCCTAATGTTGTTGACAAGAAGTCTGAGTGTTAGAGGACAGTGAAGGCAGAGACCTGCAGGGGCAGATGTCAGTCAACAAATGCCAAAGGAAATCTAATAAACTGCACATCACACCACATCACACAAAGACTGTTCAGCATTCAGTATCTGCATCTACCTCCAAACAGGAATCTGCAAACATCTCTGCAAACATTATTTTTTGCACTGGACTCCAGAGCAGCCTGAAGTGTGTTTATTTGGGCATTTCTGAAATTACAATTGTCTCTTTATTCTTGACATAGTGCTTTGTTTTCACGCCCCAAACAAATCATACACTGCTGAACAATCACAGCTCGGCTGGTCAAATATTCACAGCACAGAAAATTCACTGCATAGTGTTTGCTGTGATTTCTTTCTTCTCTTTTTTTTTTCCAAGGAGGGTCGGTGTTGATGTGCTGGAGGTGCAGCAGACAGCCAGAGTGCTGCAGGCAGAAGCAAAGTTCACATCCCTGTGCTGCCACCGGTGCAGGTCGGCCTCATCTGTTGTTATGGTAACTCTTGTGATGAGGGAAGGTCTGCTTGTGGGGCCCGAAGGCCAGGCACAGTTCCTGTGAGCTGGTGTTAGGCAAACAGCTCCACTGAAATAGAAGCTGTCATTTCCCGGGGAAAATTGCTCACAGGAACTTGAGCTATGTGATGACCCAGAGCTAAATCGTAAATTCTCTTTTAGTCTAACTCTCTTTCTGCAGCGTGAACTTTTTCCTCTCCTTTCCCCGCTTTTACTCTCCTGCTTCCTCACTGTTTCTCAGAAAGCCTCCATCATTTTCCCTTTCTCCGTCTCTGACCTCTTTCTTTTCTCATCTCTCGTCCTTCTGCTCTGACTGACAGGTGCTAAATCATTTGTCTCAGAGCATCCTTTTGTCCACAAATAGACTGAGGCCAAGGCACTGGGAGAACACTGTGGCGCTAACCCAAGAGTAACACACTGACTTTGAGCGATAGTTTCCACCAAATAGCACACACAAGCACATGCACACATACACATACACACGCTCATAAACATGCGTAGCACACCTACAAAGTAGCACTTGTACACAAGCACTGGCCACCAACATTCACGGACAAACACTCTGACACTGGCAGGCACACATGCAAACACACACACAGACACACAGACACACACACACACACACACACACACACACACACACACACACACACACACACACACACACACACAGACACACACACACACACACGCTTATGCACTCGCACGTCCTGCCTACGACTGGCAGCAGCCATCATCATTCACAGACACAGACCAAGTCAGATGCAAACAGACAGCCATACACACACACACACACACACACACACACATATTTTTGTGTCAGTGGTAAAGGAAGCTCTGCTCAGTTAATAAGCCAGCATTGATTTCTTTATTTTTCCACTACTAGTCTGTCCAGCTGGGCTCCCCAGCCATTGATTTTCACCATGAAAGCAGATGTTTTTTAGGGTGGGTGGGCTGTGGGCTGTGCGGGGGGGGGGGTTTACGGGGGGTTGGGACTGTATTTGCGAATGTCTGTGTCGAAGAGAAACAAAGTAAATTAGTGCATGTTGCTCGCAGCTGGGATACTTTGTGCGTAGCTCACTGTCAGTGTAGCTCAAGCAGCAGCAGCCACTTCTCCCAGCGGAGCTTTTAGTATAAAAACCTCACTCCATCTCCCTATACTTAGACAAACTCGATAAATCTTTGCTTTTTAAGAGTTCACATGATAAACTGCTGTGACAGGTCTGCCTGCCATGTAGAGGCTGTTGTTGGTAATGGAAGCAGGCCAACAGAGAAGCTCAAAGGTTATTGATATAAACTGCATGGAGGCTCAAAATCAACCCAGAAACTCAGATTTCGTCTGTGGAACCAGCCACACTTATTCCTCTGAGCACAGCAGCACCGTTACTCCAGCAAACCAATGATGATATATATATTGTCTGCTCACGTTCAACAAGTTGTTTCAGTGCTGGAATCCTTGCAATTCAACTTGAGCTGTGACTGATAATTGAGAAACTAAAAGCACAATGGCAGCTGTATGACTGCATAATCAATATCCATTTTACACAGAAGATTTACTTTTATGTGCTCACTGTCCAGGAAGGGCGATGGTAACATCTCATCATTATGACTCAAAGCTTAAAAAGATATTTTAAACATATTTTAGCCCAGTGACACTTTCCCTTTTTGTATTCTGTGCTTTCTTTCCTCTAAATCCTCCTCCTCTTTGTCTGCATGACTAAACAGCTGTGTAAAAAACATATGAATAAAAAGGAGCTTCAAGTATTATGCAGACGAAAAACATATTGATTTTGCAGATAAATATAACGATATAAATATACAGATGAAATATATCAAATACAGAACACGGCAGCATTTGTAATAATGCAACTTTTATAAAAGGTGACACAATTTATGAATCTGCTGCCAGTGTGTTTAGTAAATGCTTGAATACAATGAGAGACAGAGATACACACGCACACACACACACACACACACATATGCACGCACGCACACACACACACACACACACACACA